CAATTAATTTATAAAGTTATCTAGTTGGGAAAAAGGAGAATATGTGAAAGAAAGGATAAAACTGAGCAATGCTATCTACGCCAGATCATTTTGGTTGTTTACTGGGGGCTATATACTGGAATTTATTTCATGGGAAGCTCATTTTCAATTGTTTTTCTAGAGGTTGGTTTTGGTAAATGGGAGCTCTTCGGGATGCCCTCTCATTTCTGCTATATTGCTGTTATTTCGTGGTTTCTCTATGCCTTCTCGTCAGCATGTTGTCTCTCTGGCAATTTTTGGAAGGCACAATTTTGAGCCTGGACGATATGAAGCCTGCCCTATCCTCCCTTTGGAAGATCAACGGGCAACCAAGGGAGTATCTGACTAGCAATTTATGATATATGCATGTATTTTTGAGTTCAGGCCGACAGGCTCTCCTGTCAATTTTGTTTTTTGCAACTGATAGATCTTACTCTGTTTTTGTTTTTGTTTTTATCCGTTTCTTATAGGCTTCTTTACTTTTACACTTGTACCTTTGTTATTATCAATAGATCCGGCTAAGCCCTCAATTTTCCCAAAAAAAAAATTCCCACACATAAAAAAGATGCATAATGTAAGAAAATTTGTTCTACATGCTGAAAATGCATCAAAGCTGTAAGTTTGAGATTTACCCAGAAGAGAAGCGGAGAAGGCTAGCGGAAGCGGGAGGTAGGCTTGGATCCAAGGTGAGAGTCACTCCTGCGATGCTAGCCGCGGCGATGACTGAGAGAGGAGGGCTCTCCGCGAAGAAAGACAACACAATCTCCCCCATCCTCGCTGAAAAGAAAGTAGTATGTAAGAATAAGTGGCTGTTTGGCAACAGGATTTATGCAGGATTTATTCTAAATACTGCTAAACGGGATTTGAGCGCCCGTAAATCTCACGGAGGAATAAATTCTCCGTTTCCCTCTTTTTGCCGTAAATCAAAGATTTACTAAGGGGGTGTTCGGTATCGGCTTTGTCTTCACTTTTAAGTAGTATTTAACCTAAATCCAGCCAAACACCATTTCGCGCGCATCTAAATCCGGCGACTCCCTAAATCCGGGATTACGGATTTACGGCATAAATCCAGTAAATCCGGGTAAATCCTAATCCCATCCTTTCCCGGATTTAACAAGATTGACGGGATTTGGCCGGAGAAGAGAGCGAAAGGGAGAAAGTTACCTTCAAAGCCAGCGAGCTCCCGTTGTTGAATCCGATCAAAATGTTGTAACTTTCGATCCGACAGGAAGGGAAAGTCTACGAAGGAGCGAAGTCGAACAGCAAAAGGGATTTGGCCGAAGAAGCGCGCGAAAGGGAGAAAGTTACCTTCACAGCCAACGAGCTCCCGTCGTTGCTTCCGATCAAAATGTCGTAACTTCCGATCCGACAGGAAGGTAAAGTCGCCGAAGTAGCGAAGTCGAACAGCAACGAAGGTGCCGAAGAAGCGACTCGTGCAATGTCTACACCTCCTGCGAAGCAACGAAGCCGAACAGCATCGACGAGAAGAGAAGACCAAAGTCAAACCCTAAGACGCCTCTAAGTTGTTATTGATTAAATATTAATAATTAAGTTAATTAA